TTGAACTCTGTGATCCAAAAGTGACACAAGCAAAAAACTCAGCCCTCACAGGGCATCTGTTCCAGCTCTGGAGACAGCAGACAAGCAAATCATGAAAATACATGGGGTGAGGTGGCGATGAACGAAAAGGGATGGGAATGTGGGAGATGAGACGGGGTGCAATTTGAAACAGGTCCTCGGGGAAGGACCCGTTTGTGATATGTGAGCAAAAACTGAAGGAAGTCAGGGGAGAAAACCGTGGGAGGAAGAAAATGGATTATTTCACCCAGCCAGATCTGAGACAAGAGCATTCCAGGCAGAGGGCACAGCCTGTGCAAAGGCCCAGAGGGAGATGGCTGTGCTGCAGGAACACTGATGAGGCTGGTGGGCTGAAGCCCAGGGAGCAAGTGGGAAGATAGCAGGGGAGGAGCCAGACAGACAACAGGGCTGGGGGCATGGGGGTCATGGGCCACTGGGCATGACAGGGAGCTATGGGGGAGGTGGGGAACAGAGGAGGCTCCTGACCAAATTGGTATTTTAAAATAATCTCTCTGGCTGCTGAGTTGGGAATCAGTGGGAGGAGGGCAGAAGTGGTGGGCAGTGGAGAAAGGTGGGATTCTGGGCACATTCTGAATGTGGGGACAGTTTGCTGACGAACGGGATACAAGTGAGAGAGAGAAGGGTCGAGGCTGACTCCAAGGCTGGGGGTCCAGACAATGGAAAGGCTGGGACTGGCATGGCCTGGAGGGAGAAGTGGGGTTCAGGTGTGTCCAGAACACGCCGCATCTGAGTTGTTCCTGGGACACCCAGCTGAGTGGGCATGTGGATATTTGAGGCTGAAGTATAGAGTATACTCTAGAGTATAGAGTCTGTAGACAGTTTTCACAGCCCTCAAGCTTGGGGTTCGCTCCCCCCCACCCACCAGGTCCTCCAGCCCCTCCTCCCACATCTGAGCCTTATGGGTGGTTTTGCTCACTGCCTCTGTCTGGAGCACCTGGCTCGTGCTACTTTGTTGAAATGCCCGCCCCCACTTCCAGCAGGCTCACCCCAAACTCCCTCTCCTCCTTGGGGATTCTAGGCCCTCCCAAATGTGATCAGCTCGCCCCTTCTCTCTCTGCTCACCCAGCGGGGAAGGGAGAGAAACCACAGGACTGGGGAGGAGGAGGGGGCTGGAGGGGGAGGCAGGGTCTCCCCCCCAACTCCCCAGCATTATCTCTCACTGACAGATGAGGACAGAGAGCATGAGGGCTCAGAGCAGTCACATGACCTGCTGCCGCCCCCCAGCCAGCAGCCAGGATCCAGCCCCGAGTCTGCCCCTCACTGCAGTGAGCTACGGACTCCCAACACAGCCCTGCTGACCCTCTCGCTGTGCACACGGCTGGGTGCGGCTGCCCCTCCCCAGCAGGGTCCCTCTGAGAACAGAGCTCTAGAAACCCCGGCCCAGACTCCACACACAGAAGCGTCCAGCAGATACGGACTCCTATTTGACTCGAATAACAACAGCCTAAAATGTTGGTCGTCTCTGCTGCTGCAGAGAAGCCTTATGGGAAATTCAGAGATCATTACTGTTTGGCTTTAGGATACATAATATGATGCCATTTGCAGCAAATCTGCAAATAACCCCTAATTAGGTTTTCCTAGGCTAAAAAAGCAAATTTGCTTTCCCCGAGGACATACCAACCATGGGTAGGAGGCAACAGTCCAGAAGCTTCCAGCAGGGCCGGGAGAGGACCGTGGGGGTTGTTCAGGCCACGGATCATTTCGAGGTGAGGACTCCAAGTGCAGGTGAACAGAGTTTGCTGGAAACACAGCAGCGCGCATCTGCCGGACTCCCTCCTGCCTAGCCCAGATAGGTCAGTCCAGGGGCTTTAGACGGGGCAGGGGCTGGAGTGTCTGCACAGGCGAGGTGTGAGCAAGCAGCACCCCCCATACCCTGAACACACCCACAATTTCTCTCCCTGAAACCAGAAGCAACAATGTCCCTGCAATTTATGGCTTTGCCTATGGGGTTTGATGGGCTCTGCTGGTCTTGATGGATTGTTGCTATTTTCCGGGATGGAGCTAGGAGGTGGCGCGGACTCCCCTCTGAAGGAGATGAAGGGCAGTGCAGGGGAAGGAGGGAGGGAGGCAGAGGCCAGGACTGGAAGAAACCAGAGACGACGCTGAACGAGCTGACAGTAGGTCCCCCGCCCAAAAAGACAGGCCACCTGACCCTCGTCTCTGCCCCCCACAGCAGGATGCTCGTGGAGGGAGAGCGGCCTGGTGTTCTGCCCTCAGCCTGGTGAGCAGCCCTGTGGGCAGAGGCTGAGCCAGCAGCCCAGAGAGGTGGCAGCACAGCTGGGGGCAGGCAGGAGAGGGCAAAAGATGCCATGAGGGTGAGGGGCTGGATTAGAGGGGCACAGACAGCGAGAGGAAAGTGGACTCTCTGCACAGAGGAGAAAATGATCTCATGCCCCAGAGGGAGCTCCAGGGGAGCTTGTGGTTATTTCTGCCACAAGCTCCCGGGCTTCCCTTCTTCACACAGTGGTTGGAGCTCTTTTTAAAAAAGAAGCCAGGTCCCAGCACTCCCTGGTGGAAAGCCCTCTGGCAAATTCCCACACCTCTCAGAATAGTGTCCCAGGGTCTCACCACAGCTGACAAAGCCTCTGCCCCCCACCTTGTGGGCCTCTCCTGTCCCTCACGCTGCTCTGCCACATCGGCTTTCATGTTGGCTCTTTTCCTCCAACATATCAAGCTTATGCCTACCCCAGGGCCTTTGTACCTGTTGCTCGCTCTACTTCAAATTCTCTACTCCCAACTCCTCCTGTAGCTGGCTCCTTCCCACAGCTGGCTCCTTGATTCCCACAGAATCAAGCTTAAGTACCATCAGCTCAGAAAGGGCTTCCCAGACCTCCCCGTGTGACTAGTTCCTTCCATGGCACCCATCCCTAACCCTTCAGAGCAGGCACAGTGACTAAACTTGTCTTCCTTATTTCTGTTTCTTGGTTCCTGCCCATCTTCTCCACAGGAGTGAGGACAAGGCTCATCGTTGGGTCCCAACACCGCTGGCCAAGCCTGGCACTTAGTAGGTCCAAGACATACTTCATGAGTGGATCATTTCAGTTTGCTGTCAGATCCTCGTCCAGGATGCTGAGAGAGCATCCACCCGGCACACGGTCACGCAGCCCGCTCAGGAGCCACGCACTGGGAGAGGCACCCAACACTATCACCACGTGGCCCCCGGACTGTCATTTCAGTGCGTACGTTTTCCAAACCAAAACAAATCAAGGCAAAGAGCTAACAAAGGGTATCTTGTCCCTGGGCTGTGAATTCGTTGATCTGAAACGTCTTGCAAAGGAATAAAAACTAACCCACACACAGCCGCATGTTTCGTGAATGGCTATCGAGAGCTCAGTGGTGGAAACACGGGCTCTGGAGTTGCTGGCCCAGGCCCAGAGCCGGGCCCAGCCCCTTAGCAGCTGTGCAGCTTTGGGCGAGATCCTGACCTTCTCTGGGCCTCAGCTACCCCCTCGCTGTGGCAGAAAAGGAAGCACCCATAAAGAGGGCCTGGGACCACTGACACCACTGAGGTAACGCGGTAAGGATGACGCCAGGCCCTGGGTGAGCGTCTGATAAATGCCACCTCATATGAAAGCAGTCACGCCGACATCCAGTGACCCAACTGGGCCTCCAGAACATTCCATCGGCAGGGCCAGTGTGAGATGGTGTCATGGCCAACAGCCAAACCTAGACAGGCTACGGGGCAAAGAAACCCCAGTCCACAGGAGGGGTCCGCCACCCACACCTCCTTCCTCAGGCCAGCCAGGGTCCCGCCATGACCAGGACTGGCCCAACAACACTTTAACCCAGACTGTGCCAAACTCCAAACAGGAAACGCCTGGAGCCTTAGCTTTTCCATCACACATATTGGCTGGGCTACAGCTTTCCTACAAATTGTCTGGAAGTGTGGATTTCAACGATATTTTTCAGCAGTAGAACAATTTTAGCAAGTCACACTGGCCAAGGTACAGCTTTTGCTAAATCGTGTAAAGTGTGGGTTTCAAACTTACTTTTTAGCAGTTAGAACACATGGAGCAAATCCACCCCACAAGGAACCCCAGTGTTGAAAAGATGTCAAGTACAGATCATCTCCCTGGGGTGGGTGGGCAGCAAGCCCCGCCCTCCACAGCCGAGCCTGAGGGCCAAGGCGCCCCATCAGGATGGCCCTGACCTCACACATCCTCCTTCTCTGGGGTTCCAGATCACTCACACACCTAAGACACATGATTTGGTTTCACACAGGGGCTCCGGGGCCACTGCTGAGACACAAGGGACCATGGCACCAACTCTCAGAGACCTTTGGACATGCCAGACTCAGTAGGGGAATATTTAGAATGAAAAAACCAAGAAATTCTTTCTGGCAAAAATGGCCCAGGCCCATTGGTAGAGGACAGACAACCACTGGGCCATCTTACCCATACGCCCATCCCACACGTGACCGTCAACGTGGACAGAGCTCCAAGCTGTCGTGTTGAGTGGAAAACGCAGGTGCCGGAAGCGTGCTGTGGGATCCACTCACTTGGGGCCAGCAAACACCCCACACCCTATGTTTGTGGGGTGTATGTATGTGTGTGTGTGTGTGTGTGGCGTGTGCGTATAAAGGAGGCATATGCCAACGGTTACCGCGGACTCAAAGAACGGACGCCTAACTCAGGAAGTCCCTTGTCCCTACGGGGAAGCCGGGAAAGGGCCCTCCAGTTTTTGCCTGCGATTTTTAGGAAAAAGGAAAGAAGGACGTCAGGCCACTAACATGACAAAACGATAACGGCTGTTAAGTAGGGCGGCGGGCAAGCGCTCGGGGTTGTAACACCGGGTTGCTTCTGCATTCTTAAACGTTTCCACACGGCTATCCGAAAGGGGGCTGCCCGACAGGGCCCCCCACCCCTGCTCTGGGAGCGCATTTTGATACGGCGCCCACCAGCACCCGGGGCGCTCCCCCCTCCTCCACCCTGAGTGCCCCTCCCCCTCCGCGTACCCCTTACCTGTCCGCAGCCAAGCGCCCGTGGCCGGCAGCCCGGTGCGGCTCACTGCCGTTCTCCAGCCGGGCCAGCGCGTCCATGCGCTTCGCCATGAGCTCCAGCAGCTCGCTCATCCTGCGCAGGACGCCGCGCGACTCCGGCCCTCCCAGCACTGCGGACAGAGTGCGGGCACACGGTCAGGCTCGGCTGCGGCTTGCGGGCCACCTGAAGCCACCTGGTGGCTCTCTGACTCCGACCCCACTCCCGCTTTTGCAGGCTAAGGAGGGGTCAGGAGAGTGAGCCCGCCCCAGGCCTCACCCCTGCAGGACAGGGGCTCCCCCACTGCGTTGTGTTGGGGAACAGAGCCCCAGGCCAACCCTGCTCTCTACCAGCTGGGTGACGCTGAGATCATCTTAACGTCTCTGGGCTTCTGTTTCGGCGCCTGCAGAATGGAGCGTTACACCTAATCTCAGTCAAGTCATGTGAAGGGTTTTTGTTTTTGTTTTTCTTCAAGATTTTATTTATTTATTTTTGCGAGAGAGAGAAAGCACGAGGCGGGGGGCCGGGGGAGAAGCAGACTCTCCACTGAGCAGGGAGGCCCACGCAGGGCTCCATCTCAGGACCCTGGGATCATGACCTGAGCCTAAGGCAGATGCTTAACCGACTGAGCCACCCAGGAGCCCTCATGTGAAGGTTTTAACCCCCTCCAAACAGTCCACGAATGCTCAGGTCCAGGCACCACAATCCCCAGTTTGGTTCCCTGCAAAGCCCAAGAGCCAGCTCTGAACCTCCCATACCAAATGAGCCAAGTCATGGCGACCTGAGTGCTTCCAGGGGCTTCCGGGGAGGTGCGAGGGCCTGAGGTTGGGTTCCCCAAAAGCAAACCCCGAGACCAGGATTTGAGGACAAGTCATGCATTTGGGAGGCAAAGGAAACCCCAGTGAGGGAGTGAAGTGGTGACACAGGGAAGGGGAGACAGCCCAGAGAGGGCAAGTCACCAGCCTGGGAGACCAGCAGATGCCAAGTCTGCCCCAGAGTCCTCTGCCCAGCGGTGAGGTACCTGGGCCATGTGCAGGCCGTCTCCTGCAGGTCACTGCTTGAGGGTGGCTCGCAGAGACAGCCAACTCCTGCTACTCCCCACCTGCTGGAGGGTGGCCAGTCAGCGGCAGTGGCTACAAGAAGCCCTGGGCAAAGAATGGCCGTCACCAGCAGCCATGAGGCAGCCCGAGTGCTCAGAAACAGCGGGAGCCAAGGGCTGGGGCACCAGCACCATATGCTTCTCCAGAAAGAAGGGGCCAGGGCCTGGTGAGCTCAGAGAGGCTCTTGCCTGCCTCTGCCATCACGCACCCCCTCCCCCCCCACAGTGGGGCTCTGTGGCCAAGGGACATTCATAGCAACATTATCAGTCTCTGGGGCCCCAACTCAAGTCAGAAATACCAAGTCCTATCTGCTGTCTGCTGTCACAGTGCCAGGAGGGGACAGAAGAGAGCATGGCAGGCCACAGGGACCCAGGGGCAGAGGTGGGGAAAAGAGGCGAGGCCAGAGGGGCTGGTCTCCCCTGCTCCAAGCAGGGGAGGGCTTGGGGGGCCAAGACAGGCTTCAGCTACCAAGGCTGCCTGTGACATTTCCACTTTGCTTGTCCCCCATACCCCTGGCTCTGGGCCCACCCTGGTCCAGTGGCGTTCACCGCTTTCTCTCTTGACTAAGTCACCTCCTGTGTTCCCCAGAGGACTGAATCCACCAGAGTTCAGAAAGGAGGCCACCAGGAGCCGGGGAGTGGTCACTCACATGCTGGAGCATGTGAATCTGGAGCATCAGGGAGCTGCAGTTTCCTTACGAAAGCTAGGGTCCCTGACTCCAACACCACACACACACACACACACACACACACACACCCCACCCAAGAATGAAAATGGGTGAGTTCGGGTGTTGATTAAAAAAAAAAATGCGTATCTAGAGGAAGGAAGGAAAGAAACACGGTCTCTAGCCCATCTCTGCACCAGCAGCTGAGATAACTAGCAATCTTCCCACTTTCCCTTCTCAGAAAACTGGGTGGATTTTTAACAAACCAGTCGGGATTGGGCAATTTCACCATTGTGCTAAGTGAAGCAAGCTTCTCCCACCCCTCCGTCCCAGCACACTCGCTCAGTACTCAGCCAGTTAGTCAATCTATCCAAGAAGATATAAATAGCTCCCCCTCTCTTTCAACTCCACAGAGCTAGGGGTGATGGTTAGTCTCTCAAACCATTCTCATCCCTGGGACCCCCACCCAAGCCCATCATCCATCCAAACGTAGTATGTGCTTGGAGCACAGAGTAAAGCAAGGTGGGGGTGGTGGTTCCTATCATCTCAGCTAGAAAAATAGGGGAACATCAGATGATCTGACCTGGCCACTGCTTGGTACCACTCCTGGAGCTGTGCAGTGCACAGCCTGCCCGCCTTCCCTGGGCAGCCCTGATGAGCCAATGCTACAGCGCAGGCTGGGGTGGTCCTTTCCTCAAAGGTATGGCATGAGAAAAGGAGAGCAAGACTGCAGCGGGGGATACCCTAAGTCAGAGCTTGTTAATCAAGGCCCCCCGACCATGACCTGGTCAGAGCACGCAGGCCCGGCGGGACCAGAGCCTGGGCAGCAGCTCGCTCCTACAGATGAGGCCCCTCGACAATGCCGAGCCCACATCACTGCTTCTGGAGCAGAGCTAAGCTCCGCAGAATGTCTCAGGCATGGCACCCTGCCCTGTCACACTGCTGTCCCTCTGTCCGAGCTCATCTCCAGCTTCCCTGGCTCCTCCTCACTGCCTGAGCCCCGCCCTGGAACCTCAGTGACACAGCCCCCCTCCCCCCCACATGCACCCAGCCCCACAGCATAGGCAGCAGAAGAGCGGCCCCATCTGGCCCAGAGCTGCCCCAGAAGCCAAGCAGAGCCGGGGCAGCACCACGGCGGGGGACAGGCTGGGGTGGGAGTGACAATGGATGGACATGCCACTTTCCTGCTCTGGGCCTCAGTTTCTCCTCCTATAAATGAGGCTCTGGACTACGGAACCCTGAGTTTCCATGGGCCGGGACTCCTGTTCTGGCTCTTGCCCTAACCGCCCCTCTCGAGATTAGGGTAACAGGAAAGGAAAGACTGTTCCTATAAAAGCCAGCAGAATCCCCTTAGGGAGATAGCTCAGTTTTGTTTTACTAACCCCTGGGTGGGCCAGAGCAGAATCTAGGAGTCTAGATGCCCAGAGCAGTGAGACAGAGAGAAAGCGAAATGACTGCATATCAAGTCAGAAGATGGGAGATTTCTGGTTCAGCCTGGGAGAAGAGGAGCGAGAACAAGGCACAGGGGCTCAGAGGCGGCGGAGGCAGGGAGGCCAGAGGGCAATGTGGGGTCGGGTGGGGGATTCCAGCTGTGGGGATGCAGTAGGGACCTGTCATCTGCTTGCTGTGCGTCCCAGTGGTCCCAGCCCCCAAGCCATCATCCCTACTCTGTGCCAGGAATCGGGGGAAAGGATGCCCTTCCCAGCAGGTCAATGTCAGGGACACAGACGACACAGGAGGGGACAAACTGAGCAGGATAACTCACAGAAGCAGGAGCTCAGAGAGGAGGTGGCCAGGGACACATAAGCCCCACCAGAGAGTCCTTGGAGATCTGTGGGGCTCTGCATGGCCCCGCATAGGAGGGATTAAGCCAATTCTTTAAACACATCAACAGAAAGTAAAGCACAGAGTAAAGCAAGGTGGGGGTGACCCAGAAGACCCAAGGGCTTAGGGACGCCTCCAAGAAGAGCCGCCATCTGCGGCTCTCAGATGGGTCTGTAAGGACACCTCCATCAGACTGGACCAAGACCACAAGACCCTCCCCTGTCGCTGGGGCTTAGATGGCGCAGACTGGAAGCTGCCCACCACTTCCACTTCCGGGGAGCTTCCCGCGGGATCTGGTCCCTGGCTGGCTCCCTGGAGGCCACCGCCCATCCCCGACTGTCAGCGGAGCCTGAGCCCTGGCTGTCCCTGAGTCACCTTACCGTTCCCGGTGTCAGCTAAATTGAAATGTATTTAATGTGAAGCCCAGGAACACATCTCAGGACTCACACACACTCCCTCCATATTTCCATATAAATAAGGAAAGCCGGCACCGAGAGATACAGACAGCTCCTCCTGGTTACAGACTGAGGTGTTTTATGACCCATCCAGGCCTGGCCCCTCCCTGCCCCTCCCCACCCCTCCAGACACAGACAAGCTCCTCTGTCTCTCCGATCCTCCCTTGTCCCCTGCCTTGTCCTCCTTTCCTGTCCCTACCCCAACCCTTTCTTGCTGGTTCCTGGAAACTGAAGGAGCCCCCGCCTCACCAGATAAGAGAGACCTCCCTGGACCTTGAGATAGGGGCTGCGACCTAAGTGTTTGCCCAGCTGGAGAAATGAGCACATGTGTCCCTCAGCACACAGCCACCACGGATGCCAGCTGAGGTCACTGAGGCTTGGGGCTCTGGGCAGCACAGGAGACAAGGACAGTCCCTGTGCCCTGGCCCACCCATCCATCACTAGCCTCTGAGGGGACGAGCTCCCTAACACCAAGGTCTAAGGCCAGAGACAGCTACAGAGCAAGGAAGTATTTTTCTGCTATTCCCCAGGTTCGAATCCCAGCTAGGGGTAGGAAGGTCTGGCAGGGCCATGCCCCCAGGGAACCTCAGGGCAGCCATGTACAGCTGAGCCAAGGCCCTCCCGCCTGCAGGCCTCTCCCAGCGATGGCCTCTAACGGCTACCTCTTCCAGACAAGACAGAGACCGAGAAGAGCCAGCCACACATGCTCGGGGAACCCACGGCAACATCAGGAGAGAGGCCTGAGACACAAGCTCACATCCCACCCCCTGCCCCTAAGAGGAGAGCAAGTTCCTCCTTAGGACAAGAGAGGGGAAGTGTAGCCAGGAGGCAGGGAGAAGGGACCGGGGTCTGGTGAGGGCACAGGCAAAACCCCCTCCTTCTCTGGGAGAGAAAGCCCCCAGGGCCCAAGGCAGGCCCACCTACAGCAAGAGGGAATCAGGTCAGACTTGGAGTCACGCTTCCTGTTAGCCTCCCCCGCCCCCTCCTGAATCGTCCGACGAGTGTGCAGAACGTAGAAGACGTCTCTTACATTTTTATCCCCAAACTAGAGAACTTTATCACAAAATACAACCTGGCTTAGAAGGGAATCCGGAGCCTCCGCTGGGAGACCACAGTCCACAGAGGCTATGGCAGGGCCCCCCTCCTTTTAGAGAACACCCTGCTTCTCCCAACCTCCCCCCCAGCCTCGTCCTCGGGGCCCACTTCCCTCCCAGGCTTGACGGGCCAGGACACGACAGATTGTTTCCCCCATTTGTGCTCAGATGGTTTGCTGATCTGTGCAAGGACTTTTCCTTCCTGAGGTTCCCTCTCCCAATTCTGCCCTGGGGCTGCACAGACACGGGAACCAATGCAACGCCACAACCCAACCGCCACCCTTGACCTCCAGTCTCCCTTTCCCCCTCCCGCCCCTTCCACCTGACCACCCTCCAGCCCCAGGCCTCCGCTCGTATGGCTCCTAGGCAGAAAAGCTCGCCCCTCCCAGGGTTCCCGCAGGGCCGCTCCAGGCACCGCGTGCAGGTGTCCTTGGAGGAGGCGTGTTTTGCAAGATCAGGATTTTAAACCCACAATGTAAACTTGGGGCTCTTCCAAGTCCCTGCTTTTGGGTCTCTCCAAAAAAATCCACTTCATCCAATGGCATGAAAGATAGGGGGGGACAAAGATAATCGGGATGGGGACCAAGCCAGGGTCGGTTCTCCAGAAGGGTGAGGCCTCCCTCCCCAGCTGTCTCCCCCTCCCCACCTTTAGTTCCACATTCTAGGTGCTTAGCCTGCAGCCCAGGGACCCAGGAAATGCGAAAAGCCTTCGAGTTGGCTGAACCTGCTTTGAGAACTGATGTCACAATAGACGGGAGACCCGGCAACTTCACCCTTCTGTGTACGCCAGAGAAACGCGCGTGTGCCCCGGAAGACAGGGACCGGGATGTTCCTAGCATCACCAGCCACACGTCCCAAACTGGAAGCAACGTCCACCACCAGTCGAGTGGGTAAACGTCACACGGGGCCTTCACACAACGGAGTTCACACGACAGCAGCGGGGACAAGCGTCTATGGCCACACAGCGGGGACGGTCCTCTCCAATGGAGTAATGAGAGGAAATCAGCACACACGAAAGAACAGCCACGATGCGATTCCTTCCTCACGACGTCTGAAGAACAGGTGAAGCCCTGTGCTGTGAGAAGTCAGGGTCCTGACATCCCTGGGGAAGCACTGGGTGCGTGGAGCCGGGAGGGCACCCCGGGGGCTGCTCACGCTCCGTTTCCTGGTCACGGTTACTGGCTGGGCGATGCATTCATCTTGTGGATATTACGCTCTGATGGAAAGCCTGAGCATGTACGCGGGCACACGCGTGTGCACATACACGCACACATGCCTCTACTCTAACTGGGTGACCTTGGGCAAGTGCTCTCCCCTCCAGGGCTCTGCCCACCCCTAAGACACAGATCTGGTTGGGGTTGGCCTCCCACCTCCTTTACCAGGCAAAACTGCACAGTGCATGGCTCACCAGGGCTCCCACAAGCCCCCTGTACTCTGGGCCACTGGCCCCATCCCCTGCCAGAGAAACGAGCAGAAGGACGGGAGCCCAACCATACGCCCCTCTTCCCCCAGTCCCCGATCCCCACCTCCTGGATCCTAACCTTTCTGAAGGTCCCGCTTCCTCAAGCCCCTGTAGCAGCCCCCCTAGGCAGGCGTGACCCTCTCCAGGAGTGGCTTGAGCACCTCTCCCTAGACGCTGTCTCCTCACACTCCACGTCCCCCATGATCCACCCGACACCTCCAGTACCTCTCTCCAAGCCACCCCTCAAGTGCGCCTTCACAACCGCCCCCTGCCCCCTTTTCCAGCCTCAATCTCCTTCACACCCATCTCCTGTGCGGAAATCCCAGCATCCTCTCGCCCTTTCCCCTACACAACCTTTTCTGCAGTGTCCCCATCTCGGACTGAACACAGTAAATACTGATGGTGCTTGTACTATTTGCCAGATGCTGCTCGAGCCCCTTCCCATGTGCTATCTCAGCACGACTCACGTCAACCCTGGGCACACAGGGCTCGTTCCCATTTATCAGAGGAGAAAACTGGGGCTCAGAGAGACTGACGCACCTCTGCGAGTCAGAGGTGGGATACATTCATTTACATTCAGGCTTGAATGACTAATAAATGTGGAATTCGTGCCAGGAGCTCTGCAAGTTTAAAGAAGTACATGTTAAACCAAAGGAACAAATCTAATGATGAGACACCAGATGGCATAACAAGTGCCCCCAGAGCGCCCCCTGAGACGACAGCCACGCTGCTGGAGGGTATACTCGCCGTTGGAAACAGGCAACCACACAGCTGGGCCCTGGGGCTTTGCGAAAGCGGACTCCGGACAGAGACATGCCCAGAGCCCACCGAGCCAACCCGCCAAAGAGTCCCAGAAACCCTACCTGCCCCGGCTGCCCCAACACCCTGTGTTCCTCCCTCCCGCGGTGACCAGAAGAGCCCCTGAGACCCATGAAGCTGGACTCTGCACTGTTCACCATTCTTCGCTGAGTAGAAAGAGAAGCGGGGAGGGCCCGTCTTCAGGAGGTCTCCCAGGTCTGGACCCCATCATAACCCCCCCGTGCCGTGAGCTCATTCAATCCCAGAGGTGAGTTAAGTGATTTGGCCAATGGCACACAGCTGGGAAATAATGAGCCAGGCTACAAGCCAGGTCCATCGGATCCCCAAAGCCCGTGCTCTGAACCTCTGTTCCACCGCCTCACAAGTGTCACGTGGGCAAGGAGCCACAAAGGTCTGGACTCTGTCGCAAAGCGCAGAGATAAGACACGTGAGCTCAGGGCCTGGCCTGCCCTCCGCCTCTCCCCACCTCCCACCCCCGTCCCAGCCCCGGCCCCCTCGGCTGTGGCCACAGACTGGGTCAAAAGCATAGAGTGTTTGCGTCTCAAAGGGACGGGTGTCATATTCAGGAACACTCCCCTCCACACACACACTAAGGAAGCAACTCAAGCAGCCTCTTCTGATGCCTGGGAAGCCATGACTCAAAGGCCCTTCCCTGGCTGGAGAGTCTGGGTCAGAAGAAGCCCGATGATCACAGCTGGGACCAAAGCCAAAGCAGTGTGCAGGGTCAGAGAGCCTAAGCCCCCGATTCATTCCCACGTCCCTAGATGAGGTGGCCTGGATCCCTGGGACGGAGCCCCAGAGAGTCCCTTGAGTTGCTTGGTTCAAAGGCCTCCTTCCCCTCCACCCACAAACACCTGCACCCACTTCTGACTCCCCTTTCCCCACCAAGATACCTTCTGTGCGGATGGTGAAGGGGGAGTCCCCCGGGCGCCGGGCCGAGAGCTGGCCTCCCAGAGACGTCATCAGGAAGCAGAGTGAGAAGAAGCCGATGCCCAGGACAAAGAGCCTGCAGAGAGCGAGAGAGCAGGTCGGAAACAGGCCAGCCGGAAGCACCCCCACCCAGCAAGGGCTCTGCACGAATGAGTGGGGGAGGGAGCGAGGATGGAACGATGTATGGGGGGACAGAAGATACAGGGCTGAGCTCAGAATGAAGAGAGCTCCACGACAGGGAGATGGCCGAGAACCTCACACGAAACCCCAAGGGACAATGATACAGGCAGAGTTCGGGCAAGTTCCAGCCTCCAGATAGAGCCTGGCTCATTAGCACGGCCCTCAGTGTGTGATCCTCAGACCAGCAGCACCGGCTTCACGCTGGGATTGTTAGAAATGCAAAATCTGGGGCTCCACTCCTGGGCTTACCAAATCAGACACTCTGGGGGTGGTGCAAGCAACGTGTTTGAACAAGCTCTCTGGGCAATCCTGATCCTTGCTCAAGTTTGAGAACTGCTGGTATAGATGCAAACAGCAGGTGCTGACGCCAGCCAGAGGGCAAGTCATTGGTCCAGACGAAACCCACCTGGATCCCATCAGTCACCCGGGCCAGGCTCTGCACTGTGTACACGGGTCTTGCCACAGCCATCAGTCACGAGCTGGCTTGAACACCTCCTTATCGTGTTCGAGGGGGATGGCGTGTGCCCCCACCCCTACCAGAGGGGAAGATCTACAAGCGCAGGGCCCAGATTCTCCCTAACCCACATCTTTAACAGGCAGGCACATGGTAGTTTGTGCACTGGACCAGTCAGAGCGAGTGGACACCTGTGCACAAGTGGTAGGTCATCCAGGGCGCAGGTCAAGAGAGCCACCCAAAACAGGACAATTGTTCATTCCTTCAACACACGTCTGATTGTTTCCCAGGTGTGGGGCACTGGGGTGGCCCCAGGGGGATAGCAGGGAACTCCTGTCTCCTGCTGCTTCCATACCAGGTGCTGGGTCCCAAATGGGAGAACTGAACTAGCCAGCACTGGGGAGGCCAGAGATGGAGGTGTTCTGGGACCTTGAATGGATCAGAGGGACTTGCAAAGCTGGTAGAGATGAAAGGGGATCCCCCCGCAACCTGGTCAGGATGAGGAAGCCCATCTCATGTGAAGCCAGGCTCATGACAGGGAGCCCCCACGAGTCATGCTAGAGGCCTCCAGCCTGGGGGAGGAGCGAGGATGGACCACCTCCTCCACCCGCCAGCCTCAACCCCACATTCGTTTGTATCTCCATGCAAGACTTGCTTTATGCATTTTAATCTTCATTATTTGAAGCTGGCAGAGCGGTATTTAATTAAAACTTAGCCCATTAAAGAAAACACACAATTGCAGAAGAAAATAAAAGCGCAACAAAATTCCCACCCCATATTTAAATGAAGCCGTTAGAGGTTAAATGAGAGAAGGTGCAGAACCCCCAAGGCAGAGAAAGCATTGAGGGCTTCACCTGGGAGAGGACAAGGAGGACAAGCGAGACAGCATAGTGGACACTGCCCCCTCACCTCTGAGGGCCCTCACTGAATCCCACCACGCTTGGGGATGGGGCTCTGGGATCCCAAGATGAAGCCAGGCTGCTCTCAAGACAGCAGCCAGAGAAAGAGTGGAGGAGATCAGTGGTTGCACACCCAGGAAGATCCTGAGGGAATCAGCTGTTCGTCCTCCCAGCCTGAGGACAAGGACAGATTCCTCGAGTTTATGGTCTCTTCCTTCCCCAAACCCCCTCCACAGCTGTGGGACTGTATTTAGAGCTAGGGACCTGGGCTGCAGGTCCTGCTGTGAAAAAGGAGTCTAAACTTTTCGCCCAGAATCTGAAGTCCCCAGCACACCTCAACTGCCTCTGTCTCTGCCAGACCTCAATCCTACCGCCATTCACAGTAGACTCAAGTTAAAATGGTTTCGTCCACCCATGCATCTATTCAAGCAACATGCCAGGAGCAACTACAGAATAAGGGCCCTGCCAGAAGAAGACAGAGGAGACAGGGCCTCCAGTCTGTCCTTAAAAACAAGTAGGGGTGACGTGGTGGGAGGCAGCCCCCCTCATCTGAAGGGGACACAAAGACTCCACGGGTGGCTGTGGGTCTCTGGGCAGCCTAGACAGACCCTAGGTGAAGACACACAACTTGAAGGGAGGGGAACCTATGCAATCCCATCTCTGAATCCTGCCTTTAGATAAGAGCCGGAAAGAGCCAGGACCCCAGAAGGAAGCAGCTCCCAGGAGTGGGCGCTGTCCGTGGTGCCGGCTCCTGCAGCCGCCTCCAATTGCACCAGAAAATATCCAGCCAAAGCTTGATACCCAGTTGGCTGGCCCTCCCATGACTTGGAGGGCGGGGTCGACATGGGGCGGCAGACTTGGGAAGAGGACCCTCTAAACAGTCAGGTTCAGCCAGGGATTTGAGGATTTCCCTGGAGGAGTAAGGCCCTTTCCAGAGACACTCGCTTCCCGCCCTGCTTTGCCCTGCTTCTCATGGGAACCTTCTGTCAGAGCTCCAGCTGCCTCCCTGTCTCCTGCCCAAGACCATACCCTCAGCATCACCAGCTCTACGATCCTCCCCTCCTGTATCCTCCAGACAGTGGTGGTCCATCATGATCCCTGCCATCCCCAAAGCGGTCTTCTCAGCTCCACAAAACAGGGCCGGCCCACCCAGGAGGAGCTGGGGAGGCCACAGACACCTCAGCCATGATCTCCCTGTCAGGGGCTGAGAGGGAGACCAACCGGGGCCCTGGCAGGGTCGGGGGCTCAAAACCCGCCCCTCCCACGACCCAAATCCACCTGCCCAGTTCCTGCCCCTGCAGGGTGGATGGCACCCACACCCCACATGTGGCCTCTGGAGTTCGACCCCCACCCCTCCCTTGGCGCCCTCTGCTGCCCAGCCCCCCTGAGCAAGGTGGTTCTCCCATCCCGCTGGGCACCCATCACTTAGCATCTCCTCCCAGACCTGGGCAGCAGGCAGGCTCCGCAGGCTCCAGAGAGAGGAAGGAGCTGCCCCTTCCCTGACAGGCTCTGGGGGCCCCTGGGATGGGTTCAACAGGGACCAGCCAGCCCCACGTGGCCCCAGCCCTGCCTAGCCTTGGCCGCGGAAGACTGGGGTTGGGGCATTGGTCTTCCCCTCCTCCTGCCTCCGGAGGTTCCCGGAGGTCTGGGCTCCCGCTGCCCTGGGGCTCCGCAGCGCCGCCCCTGCCACCAACTCCACCGCTGTTGATCCAGGGTCGAATTCCCAGCAGAACGGCCGGGAGAGGTCCTTGCTCCAATCTCAGGAACCTTCCCGTTGGAGACAGGCCCGCACCCCGCCGCGAGAAGGGGAGTGCGAGCAGAAGACCGGGGCAGAGGAGTGGCACAGGTGGAGGACTCAACCCAGGGCTCCACGCGCACGCGGGGTGGGGGGTGGGGGTACCGCCCTGCACGGCGCACTAACTTCGCCGCCGGGTGGGGCCGTCTGCAAAGTGGGAAGGACCCCAAGGAGCAGGAAAGGGGCACCCTGGGCCGAGGCCCAGGACCACAACCTGGGCGCTTTCTGCCCTCATGCCCACCCTCGCATCCCGAGTCCTCTCCAACCTAGACCAACTCGAGACACGTCTCAGATTGCCCACCCCTCCCCACCCGAACCCGAACCTCGGCTCCATCCCCGTCACAGCCCCGCTGGCCATCACAAGGGTAGAAGCACGAACCCTCCCCGCCACCCCCGCCACTGGGACAGGCACCCTCTCGGGGAACGACCTCGCCCACCCCTACCCAGCGCCCCCTCGGAGAAAAAGACCTCCCCGCGCCATCCGGGAGAGAACTTTACCGAAAAGGTCTCAGGGTGACCAGGCATCTTCTGACCATTATCTTCCCATCGGGGTTGACTGTGATCATTGTTCAAACTTGTCTGGGCGAGGAGCCGCGGGCGAGGCCGGACGCACCGTCCCGGGCCCTGCTCCCGCCGCGTCCGGGCCGCGAACCCGCTGCGGGCCGAAGCCGGGTCCGAGGGAGGCGGGGGTCGGGGGGCGCGGGGGCTCGGCGGCTTCGCTGCTCCGGCGGCGGCCCACGGGGTCGGCGCGGCCTCGGCGGACGGGGAAGCGGAACGGCGCGGCTGCCGGAGGGCGGCGAGGGCGCCCAGCCCGGCCGTCTCTGCGTCTCCACCCTCCCCGCTTCACATTTTTGGGGCCGGGAGGCGGCGCGCCCCCCGACCGCCGGCCGCGCGTCTGCCTGCTCGGGCTCGCTCGCTGGGCGGGACGGCGCCGCGGCGCGCAGACGGGCTCCCCACCGCGGGCGCCCTCATCCCCGGGCCCGCGCCCTCGGTTGCCGGCTAGAGGCGGCCCCGGCCCCGCGCCCCGGGCCCCCGCGCCTCCGGGCCGCGCCGCACCCCGGCCCGGCACCGCGCCGCGCCCATGGCTCTCGACGAGGGCGCCCCACGCCCGCTCTGCCGCCCGCTCGCTCGGCGGCCCGCGCTCGGGTGTCGGGTGTCCGGCGTCCGGCCCCGCGCCGCGCTACGCGGGGAGGCGCCGCATTGTTTCCTCCGAGGAGGCGGCAGAGCCGCTGCTGGGGCGGCCCAGAAGCGGCCGCCGCGCTTCCTCGGCGCGCCGGCGCCACCTCGTGGCCGCCGCCCGGCAGCGCGCCCTCCCGGCCCCGGTACGGGCGAGAGGGGGCGGGGGTCCCTACACCACCCTCCCGCTGTGTAATGTCCCCAGCCCCGCTTTCGAGAGCAGCCCGAATGCCAGCAGCCCCAACGGCCGAGGGCCGCTTCGAAGAGGTTGGTGCTGAGAGAAGCCCCCCCTCCTGCTGCTTCTGCACGCCCCCTCCACACACCCCCACTCCCACCCCCACCCCTACACCCTGCCCCGGGGCTTCTGCCCTGGTCCCAGCAGCTGTGAGGTCGCTTCGCAGTCCTCACCCATCCTCTGGCCCTCTCTGGAAGACACTGCCCTTGGCTCCCCTTTACTCACTGCGCTGGGTTCAAACTCCGCCTCTTGCACTGGTAGGGTTCTTCCACGGAGCCCAGCAGCCAGAGCGCGGGGCAGACCTGGGTTCTGGTCTCAGATCCTCCACTACCCAGTGGCTGATGCCTGCAAGTCAGGGAGACTCCAAAGCCTTGGTTTCTCCACGATGAAATGAGAGTGACTGAAGTCAGCTAAGCCTCTTTCCAACTCTATGAAGCATTCGCACGCCCTCTCCCCCAACCTCCTCCACCTCTTGACTTTGGAGATGCGTCTGCCACTGGGGTGGCGGCTAAAGCCAGACCCGCATTCACATTCGAGAAAGCACTCAGGCAGAAACAGCACTTGCTGTCGACCAGACCTCGACCAAGCACAGACAGTGAGGCACCTTGCTAATAAGAAGAGCCCAAGGCCTCAGACCCCGTGTTAAAGGACGTGGATGACCCTGAGGGGCTTGCCATCCCAGCAGTGATTCTAAAGCCTGGCTTTGAAGAGGAGAAAACCTTTACTTCCCATCTACCCAGCCTGGAGCCCATCCAGCTGGGGCCCTCGCCTCCATCCCCTCTGCTAGCCCACCTCCCAGCCCCACTTTTGAACCATTTCTCACCAGCGATGACTCATGCTCCTGCTTTTCCCGCTCCTTCTTCATCAAAATTCACCTGTCCCGCATTCCATCATCTCGCCTTGCTCTCTGCTAATGTGAAAACTGATGATGACTTGGTGTTGGCGGATTCACGTGTTACTCCAGCTAGGTAGCAAATTTGCATTGAACAAGGACATGCTGACCGTGCCTCCGTGCAGGGGAGTGACAAACAGCAGCGGGAAGCGGGCCTCGTGGCAGGCCAGCCCAGGCGCTAGCTAAGGGAAGGGGTCTCTGCCCGGCCCACACCTGCCACACACCCAGGCACTGATTTACACCGCGGATGTCAAGGTGAACTCCACAGCTACACTCAGGAATGAAATGGCCCTTCCACCTGTGTCTTGTGTAAGCTTGGGGTGGGGGGCGCGGTGGGAGGGGGAGGTCATGCCTTTGGCACTTCAGGTCAAAGGAGGAAAGGCACAGCCATGTCTGGTTTGGCTCAGAAGGTGGGAGTGGGTCTTCCCCATCCCCTCTGGGCCTTGCCCTCTAGCACGTGGTCTCTGAGGCAGGCAGGGAGGCGTGGGGCGGACACGGTCCGAGCCAGACCACCCAGCCGCCTCCTTTCAGACTGTCCCCTCGTGCCGCCCCCCCACCCCCCCTTGTCTACGGTAAAGATCAGTGTAAATGGTCCTGTGTGCTGTCTGCTGTAGACATCAGGAGGAAGTCTGTGCACGCTTGGTCATGCAACCTTGTGGACGCTCTCTTGGTGCCTCAGTTTCCCTGGCCGTTGATCGAGCTCTTTAGAGCCTGCCTCCCAGGGGGACATGAAAATGCAGCGGCTGGTGCCTATGAGCCCTCGCGGTGTGGCCGTTATGATTTTTCCCGCTCCTGTCTACCTGCATGGACGCTGTCGTTGCCCCTACCCTTTCCCTGGGCGTCCACCTCCACAGGCCAAAGGGCAGACTACTGATGACACATGCGACACTGCCTGAGGCTTTATTTCTGGCTGTGGGAATATGCTTGAACGTGCAAGGACAGGACAGCAGCGCCAGGGCACTGATGCCCCGGAAGCAGCCCTCGAGGAATGGACAAATACCTCTCCTCAGGCGGGATGCTCCAGCACATTCCACACCTGCTCCCAGAGGTCCCGCAGAGAGAGCACGTTCCAGCTGCCTGTGGTGGTGGCCGGCTCCATCGCACACCCCAAGCTCGCTTTCTTTCCCTCCTTGCCTCATCCCCTACACTCTTCTGTCCACGCTCCCAGGGTCACCTCCGAAATAAACTACGGGCACTAGCATCCTTGTCTGAGAACCTACTTCCAGGGAACCCAAGCCGAGCCCCTACTCTCCAGGCCAGAGTTCCCAGCCCAGATCCAGCAGAGTCCCCTGCGGAACCTGATGGAACAGAAGCTCCCTACCTTGATTCTGGACCAAAGTTGGGGTCTGGGCACATTGGTTTTTTTAATGCCATGGATTATGCTGACATAACTGGCCAGGATGGGGAACCATGGTTCTAGTTAAATAGCCATGGCCTTCTGAGAAGGAACCAGAGCCACCCTAAGCAAGCTAGAAGAGATTAGCGGAGCAGGAATTGAGGGCACATCCAAGGACTGACACAGCAGGTCACACCAGATTCCAAAAACATCCCCTTTTCACTCTTTCTCTCTTGAGGCTACAAACAGAACCACAGGCTAGCCCATCGTGGGCGTCAGGGCATAGACTGCTACAGTGTGGGCAGTCAGACTATAGCACTTCCTGGCTCTCCCCCACTGCCTTCCCCATGCACCCCAAAGCAGCAGGAGGCCCTGGCCAGGCTGGAGGGCCTGTGTCCAGAGAAGGGAAGCAAGACTCTGGGGAAGGGATTTGGAGGAAGTGGGTGATGTATACTGTGCGGGACTACCATACTCAAGACCCCTGGGGGTGGGCCAGGCAAAGAAGGGAAGGTGCTCTAAGTTGTCTCCTAGGCCCATGATAACAAACTAGCATGTCGGGGAGCTTAAAACGAGAGCAAGTGATTCTCCCACAGTTCTGGCAGCCAGAAGTCCTAAATCAAGGGTTTGGCAGAGTCGGTCCCTCGTGGAGGCCCTGAGGGAGAGTCTGGCCCAGGCCTCTCTGCTGGCATCCAGCGGGAGCCTGCGACCCCCAGCACTCCTTGGCTGCCAACTGCATTCCCCAGTCTCTCCTCCAGCACCAAGGGCTTCTCTCTGTCTCTCTCCATGTCCTCTCCTCTTCTTAGAAGGACACCAGTCATTGGATTAGGGCCCACCCTACTCCAATATGACCTCATCTTAATAAATTACATTCTGCACGGATCCTCTTTCCAAACAAGATTATGTTCCAAGGTTCTAGGTGAACCTGAATTCGGGGGGGGGGGCACACTGTTCAGCCTACTGCAGGGTCCTAGTGGGAAGTGGCCACGGCGGTTAGGCAGTGCCAAGGACCGGAGGTCCCCAAAGGGGACATGCACTGTTGTTTTGTGTGGGCCCAGTTATTTCAAGAGTCAGAAATCTGGACTTCCCACGTGCAGTCGCATAATTGTAAAATGTGGACTCAATATTTTTAGAACATTATGCAAGACCAATAAAATTCACTGGAGGTCTGGCATCCGGGTCCTCTGGGGTGTCAGCTGAGGGCAAAGCAGGGAGCCCACCAGCCCTGCCCGCCCAGCAGGCCCAGCTTCTCTGGGACCAGCCCCCACAGAGAACACCCCTCACTGCCCCCGAAGAGAGGTCAACACTCCTGGGTACACTCAAGGGTTCCCCGCAGGCCCCCGCAACCCCCCCCAATTATTCTCTGGAAGCCTCTTGGGGATCAGAGCCTAGATTGCCACCGCCACCTTCTCCAGGCTTCAGGGTTGCTTCTGAAGCTCACAGACAGGGCCTAGGCGGGAAAAGGAAAGAAGGAAACCAACAGTTGACGGTGTTTAAAATCCTCACTTAATGCTCTGTGACCGCAGCCGCAGACAGCACATTAAGAGGCAACAGGCCATTGTCCTTCGCCTGAGTGCGGAGCATTAATAATGTCATAACAGCATTTACTGACACTGTGCACAAGTCATCGACGGCCTCACTGGGTGGGAACAAGCAGCCTCACGCAGACGCCAGCCGCCTGGAGCCATGCAAGGAGGCCGAGGAGTGGGGAGAGCTGTTTCTCCAATGCATATTTCATGCTTTCTGTTTCACAACATTTAGGCTAATCCTCTGATTGAAAAGCAGCGTCTGGGGTTTATTTTTATTTATGCCAGAAGGCCATTCTGCCACACAGCTTGTGGGAGCTGGAAGCAGAGCTAGAGGACTTTCCCTGTTCTGCAGGGAAGTTAGCTGCTACGTCTGTGTCCACGTCTGTGTTTTTGTATGTGTGCGTGTGTCTGTGTGTGTGTGCGTGCGCATACATGTGCGCATGCCTGTGGGGGCTGGGAGGCAGAGAAGCTGGGGACAGACGAGACGGGACCCTCCCCCATGGGCCCCATCCCAGCACTGGGGACACAGGCGAGCCCTTCACTGAACATAATCATGAGATCTCATGTACTGAACACCTACTGGGTGCCAGAAATGACTTGGGGATTTTAAATACGTTACCAAGTTTATGTCACTATTTTACTTAAATTTGTTCCACAGGGCAGCTATCTCTGATAGTTGCTCCGGCTCCACAGAGCAGTGGAGCTGACATGCGGGGTTAACAGAATCAGGGTCTTCCAAAGACCGTCCCGTCCTGATCCCTGGAATCTGTGTTATGTCACACAGCACAGCAAAAGGGAATTCAAGTTGCACACAGAACTGAGGTTGTTAAGGGTGCCTGGGTAGCTCAGTCGGTTAAGCGTCTGCCTCTGGCCCA